CCGCTTCAAGGGACCGGACCACCATTGGGGTGCTAAGGGGATGAGATTTATCCATATAGAATTTCTCCAATAATTTATTAATGTAGTTGGCTCGGTGAATGAAAATTCCATTTGGAAGATGCTCGATCTGCAGGCCGAGGCAGAACTTGGTTTTTCCCATCCAAGTATTTCATTTCGAATTCTGCTTTTAAGCATGAACATGCTTCTATAAGGTCTTCCTTTGTCCCAATAATGTTCATGTCATCGACATAGACAGATATAATGCAGAAGCCATTAGATGACTTCTTAATGAATATACAAGGGCAAATATCATTTTTAACATATCCCTTCTTTAGGAGGAGTTCACTCAAATGGTTATACCACATTCTACCAGATTGCTTCAAGCCATATAATTACCTTTGAAGTTTGATGCTATACATGTTTCGATCTTTATCCCTCATATTGGAATTTTGAATACCCTCGGGTATTTTCATGTATATATCAGCATCTAGTGACCCATAAAGGTAAGCTGTCACTACATCCATCAACTGCATATCTAATTTCATACTTACTGTCAATGATATTAAATATCGGAATGAGATGCCATCAATAACAGGAGAGTATGTTTGATCAAAATCAATTCCGGGTCTCTGCGTGAACCCTGAGCTACCAATCTTGCTTTATATCTAACCACCTCATTGCTTTCATTCCTCTTCCGTACGAATACCCACCTGGATCCTACTGGGATCACATCTTTTGGGGTAAGTACGGTGGGACCAAAAACTTTCCTTTGATTAAGCGAGTTGAGCTCTGCCTCAATTGCCTGTTTCCACTTCAACCAGTCAGAGCGCTTTCGGCACTCGGTTATTAACTTTGGTTCTGGATCCAGATTATTTTGTGGAATATTACAGGCAACTGCATAGGCAAAAGTGTCGTCGACGACTATTAAATCTCTATTATATGTTTCTCCTGTATCAACAAAATTTATGGCCGTCAACCAAATCATCGTCATTTCCCAAAATATTTTGATCTGGATGTTTCGCATCCCAGTGTTCGTATTATTTAGAGCACGTGCAGGTTCACTGGGTTCTCCGTCTTCGGGACGGTTAACATTTTTCTGGAGTGACTGAGATATTTTACCAATTCTCGTCTTCCGTGGATTTAAATCTTTTGCACCAAGTGGTCTCCCGCGCTTTTGGCGATGGGGAGTGTCAGTGTGCATACTTGGTCCCACGGGGACTTCAACTCTCGAAGGAGCATTCACAGCAGGGATATGGGACCTAGTCACTCCTCTGTTATCAGTAAAAGCATCTGGTAGGTTATTTGCTAAATTTTGCAAATTAATAATTTTCTGAAATTCTAGTTCAGTTTGACTAGTACGTGGGTCTAGATACTGGAGATCATTTTCATCCCATGAGATTTCTCGGCATTTCGTTAAATAAGGTCTTTTATCTCCCCCTAATACCGGGAAATGATCTTCATCAAAAATGCAGTCAGCGTACCTCGCGGTAAACTGATCTCCTGTCATGGGCTCTAGGTATTTAATGATGGAAGGAGATTCATAACCAACATATATACCTAGTTTTCGCTGCAGGCCCATGGAGGTACGATTTGTAGGTGGTATGGGGCATAGACTGCACACCCAAATACACGCAGATGGGAAATGTTAGATTCTACACCACGTAGTAGTTGCAAAGGGGAATAATCATGATATGCACTAGGTCGGATTTGAATTAAAGCTGCAGCATGTAATACTGCGTGTCCCCAACATGAGACTGGTAAACCAGACTTCTGCAGTAATGGTCTAGCGATTAATTTAATACGCTTAATCAGAGACTCAGCCAAGCCATTCTGAGTATGGACATAAGGTACAAGATGCTCCACTTTGATGCCCAAGGCCATACAATAATCATTGAAAGCCGTTGATGTGAATTCTCCAGCATTATCTATTCTTATTGATTTAATGGGATAATCTGGGAATTGGGCATTCAACACAATAATTTTCGCAACAAATTTAGCGAAAGCTTTGTTCCTCGTGGACAATAGACTAACATGAGTCCAACGAGTGGAAGCATCAATAAGGACCATAAAATATCTAAATGGTCCAGAAGGTGGATTAATAGGTCCACAAATGTCGCACTGCAATCTCTGCAGAAATATAGGCGATTCTTGTCCAACCTTAGTACGCGACGGGCGTACAATGTATTTACCTTTCGCACTAGCCACACATGTAAACATATTTGGCGAAAGTACCTGGGATCTCGACAGGTTATGTCCAGCAGAATTAGATATGATCCGACACATCATATTCTGCCCAGGATGACCCAGACGATCATGCCACATTTGAAAAGAATGTGGATTTTTGAGTTTCATGGTTAGTGCCACAAATGAATCATTGGGTTGTATATAGGTATAATATAACCCAGAGGATAAAGAGGCAAGTTCCTCAACCTCCCGCTTTTGACCAGTGATCAACTGAGTCATGATCAAGAACTCCTCTTTGTTCTTAGTCTTGGTTTCAATATGGAAACCATTTGAACGAATATCCTTGAAACTCAGCAAAGTTCGTTTAGATTGTGGGTACAACAAAGCATTTTCAATTAGTAGCTTTTTACCCTTAGGGAGGATAATGGATGCTCTTCCAGAGCCCACAATTAGTACCTAATCATTAGAAATGGTAGTGATATTACTACTTGATTTGTTTAAGATACGAAAAAACCTCATATCCATTAGGATAGTATGCTTGGTTGCACTATCCACCAAGCACAATGTTGGTTCATGCTCCATTGTGCGAACAACAACTTTGCAATGTTGTAAGATCTTCGGGGTTACTTCTCGAACAGTGGTTGTTCGTTACTAATTAACCAATGCCGTTCACCGAAGAGCGTGCTTGATAACGTGTTAAGTTTTGGCCTATTTGCTCGTTGGTTCTCGCGTGATGCTTGCACGGTTATACACCCGGAATTGCGTATGTATATGTATGTGTGTTTGTAGGTGCATAGAGGGGGCAAAGGAAGGAGAAGAATAACACCAAGCTATAGCATAACAATAATGTAAGTGTGTTCTTTCATTCACCATCACTCACTTATATAGTGATCATATACAACCTTTCAAGTACACAACATCAATACATGATTAAAGGATAAGAAATTGAAAGGTCTAAAAAGTTTAATGGCCATAAATATAAATATTTACAACAGTTTTGAGCAGTTTTTTGAATTTTAACCTTTTTGTAACACCCCCAAATCTAAAACCAGAATATTTAATAAAAAGAGCTTTTATTTATTTAAAAGATAAAATTCGGCCCAAACGCACAGCACAGGGCGACACAGGCTAACAAAGGTTCTATCAAACTATCTACAAATCTACAATACTATAGAATCCAAAGGTACCAATCTATTACAACCACTACAAATCCACAAGGTGCTATACATCTACAGCGTGCTCTCAAAGCTAGCCCCTTACTCTAGCCTGAAACACAAAACAACAACATTAGCATAAAGTGCTAAGTAAGGTCTACTCTGCCCCGTAAAATAAATACTTTTTTAGTTTAATTAGAAAATAGATATACTTTGACAATAGGTTTTGACACTTGAATAAGCTACACTTTCAAAAACATTTAGCCAAAGGCTTAGAAGGAACATTTTTAAAAGAGTTTTCAGAATACTTTAATTAAGCCAATGCTTGACCAAATAAGAGATTTTAAAAAAAAATAATAATAATAATAAGAGAGGGAGACTCTACAAATGTAACTTACACCAAAGCAAAAGATTTCTCAAAATAAGGATTTAAAATCATTTTTCCAAAAGTACATACACCGAATTAATTATAGAATTTTATTATCAAATAATCATTTCAAAACATAATCGTTTTCAATAGTCATTTCCATATATATATATATATATATATATATATATATATATATATATATATATATATATATATATATATATATATATAGATTGGACAAAAAAAGTTGGGCTTAGAATAGTTGGGTTATTGGGCTCATAAATAAAAATCATTGAACTTAGGAATATAAATCATTTGGGCTTAGGACTTATAATAGTTATAAAATGATTTTGGTAGGCTAGTCTTAGTTTGATTTTGGATAGTAAAATTATGGACTATAAAATAAGTTATTAATATTTCAAAGTAAAACAATTTATTTTGGAAGTATTCCTGCTAAAATATTTAGGATTGAAAATTAAATTTTATTTTCTAGAATATTTTTATTAAAATAATATTGATTAAAATGATAATATATTATAATTTTGGAGCAATAATAAACTGGTACTAAAAGTTAATTAATCAAACACTTATATTTAATGTTTAACCAAGTCAAATATTAATAGTTGTCAAATAAGTCAAAATTGACTGATAAGCTAACTAGTTTAATACCGGGTAATTAAACTTCAGATGATTAAATTGGCAGTCGACGACCAATTTTGGGTCGCCGGTCGCCTTCTTCCTCAATCGAAGAAGGTAACTAGCGTCGCCTTCTTCTCAGTTGATGAAGGCAACTCTTCCTGGAGAAGATGGTGACCAAGTGTCGCCTCTTCCACCAGGCGCCTTCTCCTTGGTGGAAGAGGCGACGCTTGGTCACCATCTTCTCCAGAAAGAAGGCGACCAATCGTCTTCCTCAACTGAGGAATAAGAATAAAGTAGTTGAATAATCAAATTTATTTGCTCCAATTGTATGACAAATGTCATCTTTCACATATATATTTTAAAAACCATATGGTGGGCTAGCTAGCTTATTGATATGATCTCAGTGCAATATAATTCAAGCTGCTCAAAAAGATTTGATATGATGCAACTGTTAGACCAAATTAAAGTAGGACGTGAGGAGCCCATGGACTAGCTCAAGTGATAGACCACCTAACTTCAAGTCAACATTTTAGTAACAAGTAAGAATGAGATGAATCTCTTACACTTCATTGTTATTCTTCCTCTCTACTTATATTAATTGTTAGTTAATTAGAAACCTTAAATATTATGTAACTGAAACCAAACAAAGTAAGTCAACATAACATATTTTAAGAAATTGAATTGAATGTACAACGTTAATTACTTTCATATACATACCTAATTGAAATAATCCTCAAAATCCCTATCATCAACTATGCCATGGTGGCACCTAAAAGTGACAAATTTTTGCATATTGTGACAACACTGGGGACACTTTTTAATCTCTGAAACCTTGTCAAAATTACAGGGGTAGTCAAGAGCACAACAAGGATGATGTTTTGAAGCATAAATAGAACGGCTAAGCATCTCATGGTGATCTTTGAACGCTTGATCAAAACCTTTGGCTATTACATTCTCCTTCCATTTCTCATATTCATTCATGACTGTCAACATTTTATCTCCTAGATCACATACAACTATCTTGTTCCCTTTGCATAGCATAGCCCATCCATCAACTGCTAAATCTTTAGCTTCATAGGCTAGTATCTTTTTCAATCCTTCCACAATTTCATCATCTTCTCCATCACAATAGGTTTGATCCAAAAATTTTATCCTTGATAAGAATGTGCTTCGAAGACGTGCCCAGATAAACCATGACTCAAAAGCTCCATCCGGTCCTTCATCACAAAGTTTTTCTCGAACATTCACTGACGCAACTTTCACATTGCTACCAATGTAACATGTCATAGTTGTCAGTTGTGGGTTTAAAGAAACTACTGCCTTTACCTTTGAAATGAATGCTTCAACCCATTTTAAGTCATTCCCTCCAATAAAAAAAATGCACTTATTCTCATCGACCTAAACAATTAAAATAAGTTATTAGTGCTCTAAAATTATATTATTGTTCGCTCGATCTTATAAAATAAATAAATGAAGCAAAAATATAATAATAATAACGATGATGAAATTGGACGTACCCATTGGGTAATTGTTTCAGCAGCCACACCTAACAAAAGCTGAGTGCACCAAGTTTCTATCTTCCATAAATCTTTTTCCTTTTCAATTGTGTAAATGTTGCGGTGAACCTACCCAGGCCAGGCCAAACAAACAATATAATATATATAATATAATTAAGCTGCTAATTAAATTAAATTAAATGCTACCAATTCAAAATTCTAAATATATATTAAATTAAAATAAATATATCACTACTGGAAATTATGGAATTTCCGACCACCTGAAAGTGATCTTAAATGAAGTTGAAACCAAAAAGTGGTCGGAAATAGCAACAAAGGTTTTTCCGGATACTCAAAGTGGTCGGAACAAGGCTTTCGACTTGATTTAAGATCACTTTCTTGAAAATTTCATAATTTCCAGTAGTGTATATACCATACGTACCGGATTTTTTATTTGCTCCTGCATCTCATCTAACCCCTCAATCATTACTCTTTCCATGTTACCAGCGATTTCTTCTAACTTCTCATCAATATCAGACACCAAACTCCTGATTGCCAACGTCCTATCATTCAACACATTCTGTAACAAAAAAGGAATTATACTATCTCCAATCTCAACTCCAGTTCTTATCCCTTTTTGAATATCAAAAGCTCTCATCAATATCATGTGCATTGCGTTATGGTGAACAATCCTTCCATGCTGGTCCAACGAAACAATGATAGGCTCACCCCCTATTTGGAACAATAATTTCTCTTTAACAAATCTTATAAATCCCGGTGTTACTGATTCCTCTACATTTTCCACGGCTAGTAATTCTCCTCTACTCGCTAAATCTCTATACTGATTTTCCATATTTTTAGTAGCTCCCCATGATGCAGGATAATCCAATATCGGAATCCAGAGCACACGTAATTTAGTTCTCCATTGGAACATTTCAAATAGATTTAACAAATAACTGTCAATGTCAAGGCTTGACGATATTAATAATAGCAAGCTCTTGTTCTTCAACAAATGGCGTCCTACTTGCAATTTAGAGGGCAGGCATTTTATTTTATATATAAAAATTAAATTATTTTATAATTGTCTTTAATATAATCAATAAGCAAACTGGAGAAATAAAAACTAAAGCAGTATGTACTTAGCTTATTAATTAGCAATCAATTAAAATTAAATAATTATTAATTATATTGTTTAATTTTAAACCTAATTAAGTTCATACCACTTTTTCATGGTAGAAATCATATATCAGTTCCTTTTTGCCACCATTGAATAATAATTTGAGAACATCCAAATTATTAGTGGAAGGGATCGGATTCTCATCATAAGAGAATGCATAACACAATGCTTTGTAACAATCCTCTTCTCTCTTCTTCTCTGCATGCATATATCATCAATTAAAACCATTAATCATATTATATTACTTTAATCTAATCATGTTGCAATTCAAGTAATAAATCATATCGCATACACTTGAATTATATTTAATTAGAACTAACCAAGTATTGGACGACAATCGGAGATTATATTTTTTATTTTTCCAGTTAAATCAGAAAGTTGTGTTCCTTCAACGATAAGCCACCTACAACAATCAATATAATTGATATTTTAGGGAAATTAAATAATACTTGTAATGATTTATATATTTAAATTATTAACATATAGCATACAATAAGAGATCAATTAAATAATCTTACTTTGAATCCACTGTCGTTGGAAGGCAAGTGAAATAGGATGCATAAGCAAGGATATTCGTGAATATCCAATAACATGCAATAGGTATGATTGGTGCTGAATTATAAGAGGATGATTGTGTAAGCTCGACAATCCACTCAGTAAGATGTAAGATTGATTTGACAAAATGAGTAACCATTTTCTGCATATGCGAAGGCACAACTTGTAGACTTTCATTTTCCTTAAGAATTGTCAATTTGCCGGCCAATCTCTTGTGACCCTGAACAAGGTTAAATTCTCCAAAGTTGAGGGAGAAAGCCGCCAGCATCATCAGAAGCTTGGCTTCCCAGGAATATGTGGACAACATTCTTAGAAAATAAATAACAATTGAGTGTGGATTCACATCACTTGATGATGAAGACTTCAATAATATCTGATCGAATAAATTAAAGCAATATTTACTTAAAGTACTTATTGCGCATCATAAAATCGTGATTCTGTTTTACAAAGAATCATGAAAATTAGGCATTAGCTATAAAATTTTCTAATTAAATAATAGTATGTGGAGAATAATTGTACATTTATAAAGTTAACTATTATAACATATATAATTGAGATTATAATTTAATTGTAAAATTTAAGAAAAACAAATGTCTCTTATTTTTCCCCTCAAATTAAAGAATTACCTCAAAGGAAATATGCTTTAATTGATTGGGAAGTTCCATGTCAGTGTACTCCTCATCTAACACCTTGTGGTTATTGGACTCAAACTCTTTACCATCATTAGAGTCTTCCTTATCAAACTTGTCACCATTAGAGTCTTCCTTATCAGACTCCTCATCTTCATCAATGCTATCTCTAATCTAAATCATATATCATCCAATGAAATATATAGACGAAAACACAACAAATCATATATCATCCAATGAAATATATAGACGAAAACACAACAAACTCATTAAAACCTAAGTTATCACACATGAAATCCATATATAGATCATCCTACGGAATGTTGTCTATTTTTTTTAATGATTTGTAGTGAAACTATATTATGGGCAATTATTATTAATGGCAATTATATATATATATATATATATATATATATATATATATATATATATATATCAAGATTTAAATACTTAGAATACCATAAAACATGAAACCTATATATGTCATAAAACTTCTAATAAATACTTCGTATGTACTAGGACTTACTCATACACAATCAAATTCAAAGTTTAAGATCAATGTAAATAAATAGTAAATAAACAAACCATGGTAGAATAGAGAATGTTCTTCACAAAATTGAAGATAATATTTGTTTTAAAATCTTTGCTGTTCGGATCATGAGTAGTCATAACTTCTTCCAAGATAATACTTTCATTGATACTTGAAGATGCCATCTTTGATAGAGATAAGGGGAAAAGAGAGCAATTAGCAAGATAAATTAAGGCCAGGAAAAAGCAGAGAAAACGGGGCTGCTTTGTGAGTCAATTGTGTGGCTAACCTCTTACATATATAGGATGCAGAGGGACAATACTTTACTTCAATTGCGAGCAATTAAGTGGAATAATTTTTTTTCTTTAACTATATATATATATATATATATATATATATATATATATATATTAAGTTTATATTCAGGTGCGAACCTACCTTATTGTGTGAACTTAAAAACGTGTGCACATCCTTGATGTTGCATTATCTAACAGCTTAGAACATGATGCACGGAAAAAGTCAAACCAGAACTCGGTGACAAGTCTTGTGCATTGTGTTATAATTGACATCCACCGTCCACTAATATAGATAAATGGATTGGTGCTCATGTTTACTTGTTAATATAGGTTCTCATATGAACCTATATGTCGGTAACAACTTGTGGACAAATCCAAATCATTGATATAGTAGATCTAACGGTTGAAAAAAACTTTGTAATATTTATGAAAATGACCCCGCTCATTTTTTACTTGATTTCTCATCCATCAAATCTTGCAGATCAATGATTTGAATTTATCCACACGTTCTCACCTAGGAAGTGGTTCTCATATGATTAAGATTTTGAACATATATATATATAGATTTACATTCACGTAAAAACACATCTTAAAATACAAACCTATGGACAATTTGACGCCGTTGGATGGTGGTATTGGACGGTCCTGATTTTTTTTCTCCTATGCGCTGTGTGCATGTAAGTATGTTAATGTGTGCACGAGCTTTGATGGATGGTTGTGATTTTTCTTCCTACGCGCTGTGTGCATGTAAGTATGTTAATGTGTGCACGAGCTCAAGTTTGTATTTTAAGGGGGGTTTGTATTTTAAGGGTGTTTGTACTTGAATGCAACCCTATATATATATATATATATATATATATATATATATATATATATATATATATATATATATATATATATATATATATATATATATATATATATATGTGTGTGTGTGTGTGTGTGTGTGTGTGTGTGTGTGTGTGTGTGTGTTTGAGTGTGTGTGTGCGCGTGCGCGTGTGAAGATGCGGGCAAAATCATATCAATGGCTCTAAAACTATGCCTTCCAGTGCACATTGTTGTGCCTTCTAGTGCATAGTATCTGGCTAATGAAACAAATCCATATTTCTTGTATTGTTTTGGGAATGAACTCCCAAATAAAAAAAATTAATTCTACACATCTTCGCCTTGGAGTTGGAAGCTGAATCAACATATCATATTGTTTGGGACAATTAATTTCCATTTTTCGCAAATATTCTCATTCCAATTTTTGACATTCGAGTGCACATTAGTGTTCCTTCAATGATTTGAACATCATGTCAAAACACAATTCCATTGCATATTGTTATGTCTTTCAGTGCACAATTTTATACCTTCATATTCCATCCATAATTTTGAGTCTTCAAGTGCATATTTTTGGCTAATGAGACAAATATACATATAACATATTGTTTTGGGAATGAAATATGGTACTAAATGTTATAGAACCTACTAAATATTCTGCCTTGCAGTGCACATTTTTGTGTCATTGAATGCACATTATTGTGCCTTGGTATGCATATTATTTTGCCTTCAATTGCTCATTGTTATCCCTTCGAGTCCACATTGTTGTGACTTCAAGTGCACATTGTTAGTTGTTCCTTTGAGTGCACATTGGTTGTGCCTTCGACTGCATATTATTGTGATTTTAAGGATTTGAACAGAATGCAAAAACACAACAAATTAACAAAATGCCACTGCGTTTTTTTTTTTCTTCTTTCTAATTTTCCATCATTCTGGGTTGTTGATCTTGACTAGGTTAAAGGATAATGGGTGAATGATAAATTGATTCTCAAAATAGAATCATTTGAGTTGGAAATTGGAGATGGGAAGGCTTGAAAGTAGTCTTTGTCCCACATTGGAATGTGTAGTGGGTTTGCACTAGTATATATACAACTTCTTTTTAGACTAAGCTTGAATTGTATTACATAAAGGCTCTATCGCATTTGCAAAGGGGTGTAAATCAAATCCTAAAAAAATGAGTCCCTCCAAGGAGAAAAAAAGGAAAAGTGTGATATTTTTATAAAAATACAACACTTTTATATTTACAAAAAAAAAAATGCAAACTAATATGGATAAATTGATTGATTGTTACTAATTAATGAGGAAAAATGTGATACAAATAGTGATAAATCGTTACTTATGAGGAAAAAGATAATATTTATGAAGACAAGTGTGATATTTTTGAAAAAAATATAATTCTTTTATTTAGGGATAAATTGATTGATTGTTAATGAGGAAAAGTGTAATACAAATAGTGATAAAATTGATTGTTACTTATAGGGAAAAAGATAATATTTATGAAGAAAAGTGTGATATTTTTGAGAAAAATGTAATTCTTTTATCAATATATAATATTTAAAAGTTGAAGAGTTACTTACAAGAGAAAGTATAATATGTATAAAGGAAAATGTAATATAATACTTATGAAAAACTCGACACGTCTCATGAATAAAAATTTGTGAAACTGTTTCATACAAGTTTTTGCCTTAAATAAGAATTCATTTTACTTACCATACAATAGTAAGAAACAGATATGAGAAACACTAAAGAAGAATGTGCAAATGGTTGAAAAGTAAAGGAATAAGGTTCAAATTGACCACTGAACGTAACCTGAAAATGCAATTAGGCCACTGAACGAAAAAAAAAAAAAAAAAAAAAAAAGTGCAATTAGGTCACTGAACACTCAAAAAACGTGCAATTAGGCCACTGAACACTCCAAATGTATGCAATTTCACCGGATAGCAGGTTACCATCAATTTTATTAGGTTATCTGCTTGCGTGGCAGCTGAGTTAGCATTTTAAATAATTTGTAATAAATTTTAAAAAAATTGAAAAATTAAATAAATAAGGAAATAAAAAATAAAAATACAACAACCAGCCACCCCGTCGTTTTTTTTTTTAATTATTATTAAAATTTATTTAAAAATTATTAAAAATGTCAACTCAGCTGCCACGTAAGCATGTGACCTGCTAAAATTGATGGTAACCTGCTATCAGGTGAAATTGCATACATTTGGAGTGTTCAGTGACCTAATTGCACTTTTTTCGTTTAGTGGCCTAATTGCATTTTCAGGTTACGTTCAGTGGCCAATTTGAACCTTATTCCAAAAGTAAATAAGATTTCCTTTTACTTAGTTTAATTTGCCCACAAAAGTCAAAATTTCCTCGCACTCATACCTTAGCTCGACAGGATAGTGGATGGGTAAATCACTGTAACACAGTTACCCATTAGATAGGCAGACCAGTGCTTGGTGCTCACAAGGAGTCCACCACAATAATAGATTGGGTGAAACTCCTACACTGCGACTGATAAAGCTCGATTATGTGTCATTGTTTAAAATCTACCACCCAACAACCAAGTGAGCTACCCATGCTAGCTTGCTTTTACTTAGGTATGTACTTGTGTTGCTGTTCCAAGTGTTGCAAAAATCCTGTCTATCTAGGCACCGATTAATCGACGCCTAGGCGTCAGCCGCCTAGTGTATCATCATAATTGGTGGTCTAGGCGTCAGACCGGTTAGGTGGCGGACTAGGCCGCCTAGACTGCCTAGACTTCCTAGGCGTCGACTAGGCCTCCTAGGCACCGACTAGGTTGCCTAGTCGGCTGATTAGCTATTTTTCCCTTCTTTTTTAAATGAGTTATTTTACTCAAAGCGACATTATTTCGAGCGAAATAACCATAAATTGTTCAAACTCTACATGTTTTTAGGTTAATATTTAATATTTTAATATTAATTATTAAAGTATTAAATAGTATATAATTATCAAGTTTTTAAAAATTAAAAAAATGTAAACAAATTTTTAAAATAAAAAATAAAATAAAAATTACATGGACTCCTAGGCGCTAAGCGCTAGGCCCTCACCAAACGCTTGAGGAGCACCTAGCGACTTTTTCAATCATGCCTATTCCTATTTCCAAATTTAATAGAGTGGGATTACATTCATTTGCTCCAATTGTATGACAAATATCCTTCATATATATTTTAAAAAGAAACACTTAATCAGCACAGCTCACAGTGGGCTTATTGATCAGAGTGCAATTCAAGCTGCTGAAAAAGATGCAATGCAACTTTTAGACCAAAGTACGTAGAGGGTGAGGAAAGAATATAACTTTCTTTAAAGTAGAGGTTGAGGAAGAAGTTTGTATAGGAGGAACTAAGAAATTAAAAATAAAAAATAAAAAATTGCTACAATTGTAAAAATCTACTAACCAAAAAAATAAATAAAAAAAATCAGTGATTAGAGAGTCAAAGTAAATTACTCTTCAATGGCCTGACAATTGTTTGTTACCACAACATCAAAGGTGACACAATTATAGTTACTCCACTTTGTGAACTTTGTAGTCTCCACTTTTGATATCTGGATGAGAACATCACAACTTAACAATTGATGTTTAGTATACGTGTGTTAAGTTACATGAGTAGCAAAAGGGAAAAAAAATGGATAGAAACTATATATATATATATATATATATATATATATATATATATATAAACCTTAAACATTAACATGGCGCACCTTAAGTACACAAATCACCACGCACCTTAAGCACACAAACAAAGCACCTGGCCTTAAGAACACAAATCACTCACATTAAGTACATAAACTATGCACCTTAAGCACAAAACAAAGCACATTAAGTACATAATCCACGCACTTAAAATTTTAAAATGGCTCACATTAAGTACAAACACACGCACATTAAACACAAAACTCATGCACATTAAGCACAAATCTCACACATCTTAAACACAAAACCCACGCACTTTAAGTTTTACCAACTACTCACATTAAGCACAAAACCCACACACCTTAAGCACAAACTCATGCACATTAAGCACAAAACCCACACACCTTAAGCACAAACTCACACACCTTAAGCACAAAACCCATGCACCTTAAGCACAAATTTTACGCACTTTAAGTTTTAACAACTACTCAGATTAATTATAAGTACAAAATTCACGCACCTTAAGCACAAAACTTACGCACCTTAAATTTGACTTAGATGCAAAATTTATCAAATTGCCGCCGTGTTTTTTTTTTTTTTTTTTTTAATTTTGGTAATCATGGATCTTGATCTAAACAAGATCAGTGGCTCATATTAAACCCCACACCCGCACTAGAACCGACTTCTATATATATATATATATATATATATATATATATATATATATATATATATATATATATATATATATATATATATATATATATATATATATATATATATATACATTAGAAAATAAGAGTTCTATTGTAAAGTTTAGGATACAAAAGTTCTTTTGTTTTTGCTTGCAAAACACTCTAAATATGAAAAGAAAATGAGGTTCTATTTTGTGTATTGGAGACTTACTTTGCATCATAAATAATTAAAAGTGAATCAAGAAAATGAACAATTTGATGAAATTATTCTTGCTCACAATGCAAGTATTCCAAATATAAAATATTTTAAAAGTGAATGTGTAGATGTAACATATTTTCAAGTTATATCTAAAGTAAAAAAAGCAAGTCAGGGCACATATTATATATATGGTATAAGTCTGTATTTTTTGAAACATGGTATAAGTATAAACTATGAAAGAATTGCTTGTTTGTACTAATTAACTTGTTATTTTATTACTCAAAAAAAATGGTATATTATTATCTGAGTTAATTTTCAAAATAATGGTTTGATTAATATATTGTCATTTATCAATTATAGCATTTTATATGCGCGATGCATATAAATTCATGCACAATATTAAGATATTGATAAATATAAATAATTAAAAACTATAGTTCAAGTTATATATACACAAATAATATATATATATATATATATATATATATATATATATATATATATATATATATAAAAGAGCCAATAAAGTTAGGCCTATAACGGGAACTAAAAAATATTTGTCCAAATATTTGATTAAATGAATGGTTCAGATTATTTTGATTTTAGTATTTTTTTTATTTTCCTACTTTACCCTGTATCATTCTCTTCACTTGAATACCCTCGCTTTTCATTAGTATAAACTTTAGTAACGGAATATTCCTTTAGTTATATATTATTCTTAACTTACTCATTGATTTCTATAAGAAATGTCTTAAGTTCGAACCTCATCCCAATCAAAGTTTGCATAATTGTTGAACATATACTACGAATATGTCCGAGTGTGTTAAAAATACAATACAAAATTTAACATAAATTTTGGTCAAATAATTAGTCAGACTAAATACATAGCATTCAAAGTTGAGCATCAAAAATTACAAATAAGGAATCTTGAAAATCATTTTCTTGCATTTTTTTAAAAACAAATTTAGGTTAATTTTTTTCCTTTTTTTTCATTTAATTAACTTATTTTGATTATTTAAAACATCAAGACTCAATATTACAATTATGCCTAAAATGTAAAATATTGGTGGAAATATTATGAATAGAAGATGTTATAATACTTTTATCATTTTTTTTTCATCAAATGTTAACCTCCTTTAAATACATTTCCACCACTACTTTATTTTTGTTGTCACTCTATTGATCAGTTTGAAAACAAAAGTAATTTCATTTTAACCTACTTTTTTCAAAAACATTCTCAACACTACTATATCTTCTTTTTTACTCTATTCGGTCGAAAATAAAATACAAACTTCCACATTTCTCCTTTGTCAAATGTTAACATTTTCTATTCATAATATTTCCACCAATATTTTACAGTTTAGACTTGTTTGAATTTTATTTTATTTTTAAACCATAATTTAAAAAAAAATAGGTAAAATACTATTTTAGTAAATAACCAAAATCTTCCCTCCACTATTCAATTTTTACTCAATTGTATCCTCTATTCATTTGATATTTTTTTTAAAAAAAATCAATCACTTACAATGAAATGTGGTTAGCAAGCGTATATTAGGCATAAACTCAGTTGTACCAAAAAAATTAGGCATAAACTGAGCAACATTTGCAAGATTTTTAAGTAAACACCACTACTACATATGGGCAGTAGACAAGTGATTCCAAAAATACAAGTTATAGCTTCCTGCAAAAATAAAACCACAAAAAATCAGCCTACCATTTTGCATCAAAACCAAAATAAAAACCCCACCAAAAGAAAAAGCAGTATGTTGAATTACAACATAATCCAATAGCATCCTTATAGAATTAGTGCTTGAGGAGTTTGTCCATCTGGAGTTGTTCTCTGTGCATCTAAATGCTTCTAAACTTGGCCATTGTTCTGCACTTCATGTACTATTGCTTTATTTTCTTGGGTAGACTGCAAAGTAATTAGAAATAAGTGAATAACTATGAGCAAAATAAAAGAAAAACAAGTTTTACCCAAGTAGTAAGAAGAAGTTAATAAGCATGAAAATAAACATTATACCTGTTCAGTCTGCTATTATGACCTGACTTCTTTTACACTTTCAACGTAAATTACGTAATATCACATGCTTTCTTGAGAGATGTACCCCATCTTTAGTAAGCTCACCAACTCTTTTTCTTAGTTTCTTACTTTCAGGCCACTCATTTGCGCCTGCCATGGGCTTTATAGCATACGCATATGTCTGCAAGTAACTGTGTGTATTAGTAGCATGGATGAACATAATTAAAAATTGGGCCTTTACCATTCTTTAACCAAATGGCACTTATTGCATGCTTGCAAGGGATACCGGTAAAATCCCATTTTTTGCAAGAGCAAGTATTCTTACTTAAATCCACTATCAGTTGATCTCCATTCATGCATTTTATCTCAAATAAAAGATCATCACACTGATAACCTAAATAACTACCTGCAGCTCTTTCATTTTGCTCAATCTTGGTAATAATAGATGGACAAATTGGCCAGTCCATTTTGCACCTTGCATTCTGCTTGCATACAACCTTGTCATCAACTGCTTTCTTAACAACTCAAGGCAAGTTATTAGAGGATTGTCCCTAGCTTCTAATATCATGGAATTATAACATTCACAGGTGTTGACTAACATATCACAATGGGCAGAACACATTTCAAAGGAGACAAGTCAGACAATTGGTCACCATTTTTTCACCTCAAGAACAAAAGACATAATACAAGTAAAAATGTCATGCATGCAACAAAGCATTAATTAACTTACAACTGATAATTCTCATATACGAACAAATTATCCAAATAAATCAACCCAAATGGCCAAATGCAACAATTATTTCAACTAATTATTTTTCACAATACGCAAATCAAACTCAAGCGTTCATACCGTAGCCTATTCTGTTGCGACTTGCGATTGCCAAGCCCTAGCCTGAAATCCACCACAGCTCTCTTTCAATTTTGTTGCATTGTTGAGATTCTAGATTCTAGGGTTATCCCTTTTCTTGCGTAGAAGGAAAGTGGATAACTAGATATTACTGCTTTGCCCTCCAATTTCACGAAAGTTTCACAGAAAAATAAACAGAGGACTATATAAAGTAGTTCTAGATAAGTTGGAGGAATATTAGAGGTAGGCTTGAGGACCAAAGCTGGTAGCTCCTCAAACTTAGAGCCGTCTTAGAGGACCTTTAGTGGAATTTACTCACTTTATTGGTTTACACAATTACACCATTTTTCCTACAATGAAAAAGTAGCAAATTCATAACATTACATGCCAAGTATGCATTTTTGTGCAATTGTTACTACATAATAGTATTCATATCAATTGCTCACTCCACCAAAATATAGAAACCTCCTTGTCCATGATGCAAAGCTCAGAATGAATATGGGAATCTGGGGCAACGCCCAGTCCCTCAAGGAACAAAATGCAGAGAAGAAATTTAAAACAAGAATGAAATGGAAAGCTGCTGGCGGTTTTTGGATTTTTAAGCCAATTAGATGGGAATGGAGAGGGTGAAGGCCTACAATTGATTAGTAAGCCCTGAACATATTACTCCTTGTTCAACACTTTGGGAACTTTGATGTAAGGCTCCTCATAGCTTGGCACAGCAGCTATCATGGCTTCCCTGTTGAATAAAATTTATATTTGTATTAGAACAAGAAAACATGCAATGCACTCAAAAATGAGAAATAAAATTGATAATACCTATTTTCAAAAATTTCAGGAAAATCATCTCGCAAGTTGTCACCTTCAGTATCTGTAGTAGATGGAGAAGAATATAGATATTTATATTGATTAAGTTCAAAGATGTATTCCTATTATATGAACAGAAGAATGTGTTACTTGACAGAAGAAAAGAGCAAAACTGCAAGAGCATCAAACACCCACCCCCAAATTAAGGGAAGGAAAAGAAAATCGGCAATTGCATGGATAACAAACAAATTTGAAGATCAAAATATGAGTTTTCATTTTAAGTTCAGGAACAGTTCAAAACAATATTTTGGCCCAAGTATCAATCAGTTCAATCTAATGTCCAGAAAGATTTATATAATTTAACATTGCATAGGACTCCTCTTTGAGCCATCTTTCCAACCAAAAGAACATGTAGAATCGTAGATTATATCCAAAATATAACAGGACAGACTAATAGCTTCTACATGGGGATTTAGAAAAAGTAAACATGGAACAACCTCCTGGGTTTGTTGCTCAAGGGGAGAGTGACGTGGTTTGTAAACTCAAACGTTCTTATCTATGGCCTAAAACAATCTCCTTGTGCTTGGTTTGGAAAGTTCAACGAAGTAGTTCAAAATTTTGGTTTGAATCAGAGCAAAGTCAACTATTCCATGTTTTATAGACATCAACAAGGTAAGAGCATTTATCTTGTCGTATACGTTGATGATATTATTATTACAGAATATGATGTTGAAGGAATTGTTGAAACAACACCTATTCCAACATTTTGAAACCAAAGATTTCGAAAGATTAAAATACTTTTAACAAGCTTGGTGCATATGATACACATGCTCCAACTTGAGGGGGAGTGTTGTAACACAAAAGGTTGTGTTTGTAGGGTTGTATCTGTCTGAGAATGTGTTCCTAAAGAAAGGTCACATTGCCTCTATACATATACATATATCTATGTGTGTGTGTGTTTTGTTTTTTCATTGAGACATAAAAAAAATATACAACATATTGTTCTCTTCTTTTTATACAGTCTTAAGCATTTAAATTACCTGCCCTAATAGCTGGCTCAATACTTTGAAGATCTACGGCTTGAAGTTGACCAAACCTGCACAAGAAACCACAATTTTTAACAAAAAGTAAACTGAAAGCAACACCAATGATGTTTGTCGTAAAAAATAGCCTCTGGAAAAATCTAATGAAGGTATTATAACTTGGAACAGAAGTATGGAACAAACATCTCCTATCTCAAGCAATTTGAAATGCAAAGATACCAACAGCTATGCAATATGATTTTAATTTGTAAACAACTAAAGTAATGGACAGAAATAATCAGTGACAGTATATATGTTAGAGCTGGTCAACTAGGAAATGACAAAGATGAAAAACAAATTTCAGATTTTCTATGATTTAAGCTAACCAAATGGACTACATTAAAGGCATGTGGCTCAGTAAAACAAATGAAACAAAAAGAGATAAGGCAATCTGAGTGTTTGAACAGTTTTTAGGGGTCCATCATACAGAAATTCACATTTTGTCAGTACATAGTCGAATGAAGCTAAACACTTCGTGTTACTCTTCTATAACCCAAAATAGATCAAAAGCAGAAATCCAATCACTGCCTTCAACAATACGAATTCATGGCCTTTCAATTAACCTCACAGGCTCACACAGAGGTATTTCAATTTAGACTTCAGGAATTGATAGTTCTCCGAAATCCATTAATTCTAAGGTGCAAACTTAATAGATAGTGCTTCCTCTAGCTATCTATGAACAATCCAGTTAATATATTTGTTCAAATCAGCTCAAGAAACAAGTGTACTTGGGCTTTGGTAGATTACCAGACTAGAAGCTTATTAACATGTGATTTCATTCAAGAAACAGAACAGAAAGAAAAAAAATTTGTACCCAAAAATTAAATTAGACGCAGAGCATAAACATGCACATTACACCCATCAATCATATAAAGAGACATACACACAAACATATAGAGGGAGACAGAGAGAAACCAGTCTATCACTTGTCGAATTTTTAGACCGAATTCTTCAACCTACAAAAACGAAAAAGGAAATTCATAGTTTCAGCACATAATTTTCCCTGAAAAATCTGGGAAATTTGTATGAATATACCTCAGTTGGGGTGAGAGAAATCCGAGCTGTTTCGGCCAAACGAGGGACATCAGGGGGCTGAAGAGCACTATTCGCTTTCGTGGAGTAGCTCCGGCGGGGCACCTGCCTCAACCCGAATGGCTGTGTCCGAAAAACAATTCGTATCCGGTTGAAGGTAGCAGCAGTTGCCATTGTTGGACACAGAGAAAGCAATGTTCTACTTCCCATTGTTGTTATTACAGTGTTTCTTAAGACGATTATCCAGATTGATGAATTTGGAGCCGTCGAAATAATCCGACCATACAGGGGAGGCCAGCCCACCAAAAATATAATAATTAAAAAATAATAATAATAATAATAGAACAGTGACAAACTGACAATTTGTAAATAAGCATATAAATATAAGGAAAATACTACGTGTACCTGAGACTCTTGCGATAGACCGAGAGTGCGTCAGTGTGACTGTGCGAGCTGCAAGCTGCGATGAAGATGGCGATTGATCACTGGAGTCTGACGACAGCGTCTGGCGTATGGTCGTTGCGAGTGGCTAAATGGAGTGAGTGCTGACTACTGTAGCATGCTGCCTGTAGAGTGTAGACTGTAGTACTGTTGGCTATGGCAGAATGGTGGTGTGCGATCACTGTGGTAGACGGCACCGTGGCGGATAGCGGACTGGCGGTGTGCCGGCTCTAGGCCTCTGGGGAGTGCGTGAAGTGGAGAAGCATTAAAGCCCTGAAAGTTTAGGGTTGGGGATTTGGGGAGGTTTTTGCACTTTTGGTCCCTGTATTGGCAATAGCAGAATTGATCCACGACTTTTGAACCTTGCAATTTTAATCCACGATTATTAATTTTTTTGTAAAAATGGTTCATCCGGCCACTTTTCCGTCAAAATTTCACCGAAAAAAAAAAAAAAAATTCTCCATTTTTAACCGGGCTAAAATTGACATTTTACTTATCTCAAAAAAAAAAAAAAAAAAAAATATATATATATATATATATATATATATATATATATATATATATATATATATATATATATATATATATATACTAGTATTTCTCATGCGCGTTGCGCAAAAAATAAGTGCCCAATATTAATATTTTATATTAAAATTTTAAATTTATTTAGATTTTAGATAATAATAATAATAATAATAATAATAATACTAATACTAATAATAATAATATACACATTATATATTGAGGCTATATGTTAATTATTTCTTAAAATATAAATATTAAATAATAATATACACATTATATATTGAGGCTATATGTTAATTATTTCTTAAAATATAAATATTAAATAATAATATACACATTATATATTGAGGCTATATGTTAGTTATTTCTTAAAATATAAATATTAAATAATGTGTATATTATTATTATTATTATTATTATTATTATTGAAAATAAGAAAAATATATGGTGGATGCATGTGCATGGTAGTAATAGTGGAAAAGATAACGGAAGTTATAACGGTAGGGGTATATTTGTCCAAAATATTATATAGTACAACATTTATAGCATAATGTATCATAAAATTTAACGAAAAAAACGGACATAAATGAAGGATATAACCTTCATCCACACTTATTATGTTTTTAGATATATATATATATATATATATATATATATATATATATATATATATATATATATATATATATATATATATATATATATATATATATATATATATATATATATATATATGCGATTGCATTTGAGAATCTCCGCCGCTTCTCTCGCCGAAAATCTATACAGCGAAGCTTTTCCGATGTCTTCGAATGATCCGGCAGGCGTGCTGGCTCCGCCTCCAATGCTACTGTCGGATAACCCAACTAGCCCGGGGAACGCTACGGCCGCTCCACCGGTTACTGACAGCCCTGCCTGCTCCAGGAACTCCGCCGCCTGGGGCAGTAGTATGTAACCCAGTAATATTGTATGTAGTCAAATGTCAATTTTTTTTTTATTATTTTTTGAGATAAGTAAAATGTCAATTTTAGCCCTGTTAAAAATAGAGAATTTTTTTTCCGGTGGAATTTTGACAGAAAAGTGGCCGGAAGGACCATTTTTGCAAAAAAAATCAATAGTCGTGGACTAAAATTGCAAGGTTCAAAAGTCGTGAATCAATTCTGCTAGTGCCACTATAGTCGTGAGACCAAAAGTGCAAAAAAAAACTCGGGATTTGGGGGTTATGGAATTGGTAGCTTTGGAAATTAGATTTGGGGGAAATTAAGAGGTAAACATGTCATTTTAGACTTAATTGCATGAATTTGTGTAGTTTAGGGACTTAATTGTATTTTTTTTTTTAAAGTTCAGCGGCCTATTTGGCCATTATTCCAATAAAAAATAAAGGAAATGGAAATTATCATATTAACCTTGAGCATCTGGCAACATAAGCTATTATCTAAGGCTGGGAAAGAGGTCATGTTGAAAAGCATAGGTCTCAATGTCAGTGTTTTTGCTTCCTCTTCGGATCTGCAACTCGATTGAGAAAATTCTTAATCGTTACTGGTGGGGCGGTAGCGGTACAACGGCAAAGGGGATACACAGGCTTAGCTGGCCTCGTTTGTGTGTTCCGAAGGATCGTGGCGGATTGGGATTCAAACGAATTCATCAGTTCAATGAAGCACTATTAGCTAAGCAGGGTTGGCGGCTAATGATTCATCCCGGTTCGTTAGTAGCCAGACTTCTCAAGGCTAAGTATTACCCACGATGTGATTTCATGGGGGCTCAAGTAGGCGGTAATCCAAGCTACATCTGGCGTAGCATCGTAGCAGGTCAAAGGATCATTCGGTTGGGGGTGGCACGACGCATTGGCAATGGTAAAGACACGAAGATTTGGAGTTGGCCTTGGTTAGCAGATAATACAAATCCTTCGCTTCTTACCCCGTGTGTGGATGCACTCCGGGATGCCACAGTAAGTGGTTTCCTCAATAATCAAGGGGGCTGGGATTTAGAGTTACTGACAGACATCTTTGAAGAAGCCGATGTTCGTCGTATCACAGCTACTCCAGTTGCTATGCATTTGAGCGATTCTTGGAGATGGCTGTGGGACATTAAAGGCATGTACTCTGTGAGACATGGATACAGACTCATCACTGAAGAGTTGGACGCTGGGATTTCGACTCCATATCTCACTGTTTGGGGGAATTTGTGGAAATTGTCAATTCCCTCGAAGGTACGACATCTACTGTGGAGGTGTGCTTGGGGGATTTTGCCTGTGCGGGAGCTGTTGGCTACAAAACGAGTGTGGATTGGTGGTGGCTGTCTGTTATGTGGGTATCACCGTGAAACTCAAGAGCACTTATTCTGTGAGTGTGCGATTGCTCAGCAAGTATGGGGCAATGGGGATGTGTTACAAAGAAGGTCGCTTCCTGGTTTTATGAATGATATTCTAGGAGCATCATGTCCGAGATTGGTTATTCGACTAGCGGCCATCATCTGGTCGATTTGGACAGCGCGGAACAACTGAGTCTGGCGTAATGAAAGTTGGTCGATAGAAAAGCTCCGGGAGAATGTGTCGTCGCTTCAAGCTGCGTGGCATGAATCACGAAAGGTGGCTAATCGTATACAAGCCGGCAGTGCTAGAACGGTTCGTTGGTTTCCACCGCCACGCTACTGGCTATAATGTAATGTGGACGTCGTGGTATTCAATGACGGTGTAGGCTTCGGGGCGGTCCTTCGTGATCACGACGACACCTTTGTGGCAGCGAAGAGCGGACGCTTGGGATGTGATCGCGATCCGTTTATGGCCGAAGCAAGTGCAGTCAAGGCGGCCTTGGAATGGTTATGTGAGATCGGTCGGAATAATATTATTGTGGAAACCGATCCTTTATTATTTTGTAATGCTTTTAATTCTTTGCGTTCAGATTATTCTTGTGTAGATTTGGTAATTAAGCAATGTGTTATGATTGCTAGGGCTTTAGGGAACATTCATGTTCACCATGTCAAGAGGTCAGCGAATATAGTGGCTCATGCACTCGCTCGGGCAACTAATTCTATGTCTGTCCTGGGATCGTGGTCTGTGATCCCTCCTGCATGTATTTCTGAGTTGTTAAATCATTAATGAAGTTTGTTGTTTCAAAAAAAAAAAAAAAACACACAAAAGGTTACTTATGATTAAATTGAGTAAAATTATTATAGTCCAGAACTATATTGGATATTAACTCAATAGATAATTAATCAAAATATCACACTCAAACATAAAGTTAAACTAGTATTTGGCCCATGCGATGCACGGACAAAAATTTATAAGTATTGTTGTAATGTTATGATACGAAGCATAATTAATTTTATTAAAAATGTAAGTATAGTTATACATTGTAATATTTAAATGTTAAGACAATATATGACAAGAAATTCATTCATATTGCCAACCTCATTTGCAATAATGATCTTACAAAGTTAAACGGACAGAGAAAGATCCGGACTACCTCGTGGTTTACACAAAAAAAAAAAAAATAATGATCTTACAAATCTATTAATATGCGTTCACACTTAGGCGGTAAAATTGTTTCCCTACTTAATTTTACTTTACCTAACTTTCATTGTAAATAAATTATTAAAAAACTAATCAAAATTACAAACTATTAAAAAGTTAATACACACACACACACACACACACACACACACACACACACACACACACACACACACACACACACACACACACACACACATATATATATATATATATATATATATATATATATATATATATATATATATATATAAAGATTTATGATGATTATGAAGTTTCTAAACCCTTGATATTCCATAACTCTCAAATGCACCAAATGGAGGGAAAAAATTTTCACTTTGATTCTGCTATATAGAGATATATATAGAGATTATTGTCTACAATTCGGTCAAAAAATCATTGTCTAAAACATCAAATATGAAGTCTTAAACATATGAAAGTTTAAACTTAAACATATAAAAATATAGTTAATCTTAACTCGAAGATTCAAATCGCACATTAGCAATTCAGACTTGACCAAAAAATTACATCAAAGCACAATATATATATATATATATATATATATATATATATATATATATATATATATATAAATTAAGCACATTAATATGAAGGATCATGTAATCTAAAAAAAAAAAAATCTATAATATTTACTAGTCCTAAGTTCCTAACACACAATTACACATAATTTGAACAGAAAATGCAGAAAATAACTTGAATTGTAGCAGTAAAGAGGTTGAACTTCTACAAATCAAATACAATATAGTAATAATATATAGTATATAACAAATTAACATACATGGCCTATTAGCTCAGTTGGTTAGAGCGTCGTGCTAATAACGCGAAGGTCGCAGGTTCGAGACCTGCATGGGCCAATTTTTATATTTTTTCCATATTTACCACACTTCAGGATCCGTGCATTTGTGGGTATAACATTATATACATACGGGCACATATTCGTGCATGCATATTTATTTTCACGACTGTATTACTTGTTTTAGGTTAAGGTGTATAAAACTTTTTTGGCAATTTGACGTATGTAATAATATTCATTTATACAATTCCTTAATGAACACGTAGAAGACAGGATATAATGATCAATTAATTTGACATTACAACATTTATTCTCATCAATAAGCTAAGTAAGAAAAGAATCAGGCCACACCATTTGATGGTAAAAAAATCTTAATCCCATAGCAACAGCTTATAAACAAGGCAATATCAAGAAGCTAAATTA